TTCTCCAGGCTAAACAACCCCAGTTCCCTCAGCCGCTCCTCAGAAGACTTGTTCTCCAGACCCCTCACCAGCCTCGTTGCCCTTCTCTGGACACGCTCCAGCACCTCGACGTCCTTCTTGTAGTGTGAGGGGCCAAACTGAACACAGTATTCGAGGTGCGGCCTTACCAGTGCTGGTAAGGCTCCACCAGCCTTCTCCAGGCTCTGGGCATCTATTGCTGGCCCTGGCTTCAAACTGGTGGGAGTGGGACGGATTGAGGTTCCCCTCCCCCGGCATCTGTAGTTTAAAGCCCTCTTCACCAGCTTGGCAAGCCTGTGACTGAAGATGCTCTTCCCCTCCTCTGACAGATGGACCCCGTCAGCCCCCAGTAGATTTAACATGGCTCATTTCCTTCCAGCTCCCCAAAAACCTCCTGGAGCAAGAGAGTCCCCAGCTGCCTCCACCTGGGAGCGGGGTCCATGATGGAGTAAGCGATGGGCACAGCAGAGAGGGGCATCCTCTGCACCCCATCGAGGCCGCACCGGTGGCAGCGGGGACCCCCGGGGCAGCCAGCGTCTGTAGTCCTAGTCCTCAGACTGCTCCTGGCTGTGTCACTGGTGCCCACGTGAAACAGCAAACAGCAGCCGGGACTGGCTGAGCCGCCAGCAGCACCCGGTGTGTGTGGACAACGGGTGTTTCGGGAACGCCAACCACCTGCACCGCGGCGCGCCGGGCTTGGGTCTGGGCAGGTCTCTTCTGCTGAGGGATGCGGGCTCTGCTCGCAGCCCCAAGCAGCCCAGGAACGAGCCTGAAGAGGACTTCTACGTCTCCACTGAGTCGCCCCTGAGGCTGGAGGCCGCTCGCAGCGGGGGGCCGCAGCCCCCAGACTCGCAGCCAAAACAAAAGGCTGTGCCTGGCTCCGAGCGCAGCGAGCCCCCGGGCAGCTTTGTGGATGTGCGCAGCCCCCTCCTCATACAGCAGCAGTTCGATGTGGAGCAGAAGCAGGTCGGGATGCTGCGAGAGCACGGAGGAGATGGAGGTGGGTTTCCTTCCCGGCAGTTCCGTGTAGCCGCCATGCTGATGGGGAGCAGGGTTGAAGGTGCTGCCGGATGCCCGTCCTGCTTGATGGTGAGGATGGAGAGTGACAGAGAAGGTGCAGGTGTGGGGTAGGGCCCCGCCGGGAGGCCATGGGGACCCTCCCAAAGAACGGTGGTAGCTGTGGCTGTTTCTACAGGACAGCCCAAGGTTGCGTCTGCCTTCGTGGCCCATGAGCGCTCATGGAGGTGTAGAGAACAGCTCTCTGTGCTGTTGTCGCGCATCTCCCCTCCCGTCTCCTGGGCCGCAGTGACCTCCTCCAGGAAGGGAGCAAGGTTGGGTTGTGCAGAAATCCAGCCTGGCTGCTTGTTTTCCCTCCGGTTGTTGTTGCAGTTGTTGCTTGCTGTATTTTGGCACAACGTCCCGACCAGGACTTGGCAGAGGCACTTGCTTCATTTCCAATGTAAAACGCCCCGGTTGAATGTCTGCGCCCCCGTTTTAGCACCCGGGGGCCACCCCGCTCTCGAAGGGCCACCCCTCTCGAAGAGAGGAACAGATTTGGGGTGCTGGCTTGGCTGGTGCAGTCTGGTTTACCTGCACCTACCGGGAGAGCTCGGGTGCCACGGCAGAGCCAGGGCCACACGGGCAGCACCCAGCAGCGCTGGGTCCTGCTCCCTGTGCGACCCCCTCAGCTCTGGGAGTATCCTGTTGCAGCGTCCTTGAGGAAGAGCAAAACTCTCTCGAAGAGAGGAACAGATTTGGGGTGCTGGCTTGGCTGGTGCAGTCTGGTTTACCTGCACCTACCGGGAGAGCTCGGGTGCCACGGCAGAGCCAGGGCCACACGGGCAGCACCCAGCAGCGCTGGGTCCTGCTCCCTGTGCGACCCCCTCAGCTCTGGGAGTATCCTGTTGCAGCGTCCTTGAGGAAGAGCAAAACTCACCTTTTAGGTCTCCTGATTAACACAATTCGTTTTGTTTTCTCCCCGACAGACACCTGGATGGAAACAACTACCCTGGTCCCAGAAGCGCCCAGAGACGCTTCCCCATCCTGCGACACCTCCATGAAGCCTCCTGTACAAGAGAAAGAACTGCCCGCGGGGGAGGCGGCCAGCAGCACCCCCTCCATGCCGATGAAGGAAAAAGTAGGTGACCTTTCCTGTTGCCACTTGCATTTCATTCAGCTCCTTGCAAACCTCCCCTGGTCGGGAGATTTTCTTCTGCAGTGTAAGCTTTTGAGCTGGTGGTGAGTTTAGTCGGGGCTTTTTTTCCCCACTGCGTTCATGTCCCCATCCAGACGCTGTATTTTGGAGCATGGGAGAAGGGAGCCAAGGTTTGTTGGGCTTTGACTCCTTATTTCCCCCCCTTGACTTGCCAGTCAGTCTCCTGGCTTCCAGGTGCCTGTTTCCACCCCTCTCTTCACTGCTTGTCTCCCCCTCCTTCCTTCCTGTATCTCCCCCGAATCCCAAAGGCTGCCCGGAGCCCCAACACCTCCCTGCCCCGCTCAGGCTCTCGGCCCTGGGAGCTACCTGTGACCCAGCCTCGCCGTTAGTGGCTGGAGATGTGGTGGTTGAGCGCTGAAGTGGGCTCGTCGCGCGACGTGGGTGCCCGAGGCCAGGCCAAATGGGTCCTCCCCATGGCACCCAGCCCCTCTCGTTGTCTCCCAAAGGTGCTGCCGGCCTCGGTGGACCCTCCCCCGCTTGTTGCAGGAAGCTTTGAAGGCACTTCTGGGAGGAAGGCCTCCCGGGTGAGCTCTGCCACGAGCATCTGGATGCCTTGCAGCAACACGGAGAGGGATGTGGAGCTCAGCAAGCCGGGCGTCCTCTTCCCCATGGCTGAGGAGAGCCCAGAGGCGGCCAGCAGATGCCCGAGCTCTCGGGGGCCCAGCGGCCCCTATTCAGGGGCGTCCGATAGCCTCACCTTCAGCAGCGACCCACTCATGGTGAGCACGGATAGCTCGAGCTCAGGAGAAGCGCTCTCCGGAGTCTCCTTGGGATGCCCAGCTCCAGCGGCTCGTGAAGACCCTGGGGGAAAGGAGGCTGCTGGAGCAAGCAGAGACTCGCGTCTGCCTCCGAGCTGGGACAGCACCTCCCTGGGCACCCACGAGGTCCCCAGCACCCAGCTCGGGGCAGGCAGCGACCTCCAAGACAGAGCCGGTCCCTTTGGAAACTCTCCCGTTTTTAACTCTAGCGGGGGCCAAGGCACTGCGACCAGCTCGTCTCAGGCCAAAGTCCCCCCAGGGGACAGCAACGGACCGTCCCTGCCGTACATCATTCCAGCTGTGGGCATCGCTCTGATTTCAGCTGTGGCGTTCCTGGTGTACGCTCGATTGCAGAAATAGCGCTGGAGTGGATGGGATGCCACGACCGTCACTCGGCCTGGGCGATTCCTCTTCATAGCAGGAATTTGGCCAACGCGTTGGAAGCCTGAAGAGCAGCGGGGGGGACGGTAGGGGTGTTGTTAAATCTCTTTCTGGAAGGTTTTGCCGGAAGAGGCCTTGGTTGCGTGATGCTGTTGGGTTTGGGTCTGTTTTCCCCCATTTCCCAACCATCTTCTTGTCTGTAGCCTTCTCCTTTTACACCCGTAGAGAGGGTCTCATTCAGGGAGTGAGTCAAAAAAGAAAGTCCTCATGGCTATTATCCACATCTCCCTTGTTTGGTCCCAGGAGGCCCCAGGGAAACATGTCCTGGTGGTCCAAAGGGTGAGCCCCCGCGTCCCTCCGGGCAGTGCAGCGAGGAGAGGTTTTGCAGACATCCTGTAAAAGTGGAGCCGATTTTGTTGGCTCTGCTCATCTTGGCTTGAAAACGTGCCCGAAGGTCTGTGCAGCAGCCTCCACCAGGTGCCTCATGTTGAATTTGCCTTACTGGGTGTCTCTGGCTCTGCTGCCGGGACCTTGGCTCGTCTCTGCTCCTCCTTTCCCCCCGGTGCTGGGTGCGCGGGCAGGACCCCAGTGCACCGAGGCAGGCTGCCTTCTGCTTATTCGTGACGAGAGAGGCCCCTGTGATGAGGGTGCACCGAGGCAGGCTGCCTTCTGCTCATTCGTGACGAGAGAGGCCCCTGTGATGAGAACGCGCCAGGCCAGACCGTGTGCAAGCCTTCCCCTCTCCCGGGAGCTGTCGTCCTGCTTCGGTGCTTTGCTTTGGAGCATCCTCCCCTGGTCCTGAGGATTAGGGATGGGCTCTGGGATCGCTTCATGCAGCACTGACACCCTGGGGATGAAGCTGAGGGTCAGGAAAGAGCCACATCTAACCAGCTTTCTCGAGGATCAACCTCATTTCACCCCCCTCCAGCCAGGGAAAAGGGGATTATGCTTTAAGAGGAACATTTCAGACAGTGCCAGCATTAAGTGGACTTGGTCCCACACAGGATTGTTGGGCGTCTTTGATCTTTAGGCTGTATTTTTAGAGCCTGGCTGGGAGGGTGGATGTAGTTCTCGCCTTTCCCGATACCTGGTGCTATGAGATAGGAATATAGGAAATGTGTGTCCAGGCTGGGACACAAATAGGATCGACTGCGCGCTGCAGGGAGGCCATGCCCAGTGGTTGAGATGCTCTGGGTTATCTTGAAGGTCCCATTTAAAATTGCAGTCCCTAACTTCCCTGCTGTCCCCAGGGATCAGCTTGGAACGCGAGGGGATTGGGCTGCAAGATTTCTTAAGATAAAATCCTCAAACCCATATAAATACCCCCAGCTTCCCCCTGCCCAGGGCAGCTTTCGGGGGCAGAAGCAGCCCCGCTCAGTCGCTGTTGGCACACATTTCTAGCTCTAGGCAGAGTTTAGTGATCACCAGCCCTGCTGCCCACCTCTTCTGTCGCTGCGGCTGCAGGTTGTTCGCCATCTCATCTACTCCCTCCCAAAAGCACAGGGGCACAAGAGTAACGAAACTACTTTGTTGTCGTTAGAGGGTTATTGTAGCTAGAGGATTTCTTCTTTTTTTTAAGCTCTAAAGACGCCAGCGCAGACTTTCGGGTGTTCCCACCCTCCCATGATTTACTGGCGAGCAACAGGGGAGCTGTGGCAGGAGGCAGGACTGGGCCTGTTTTGTTTGGTGATCAGGTGGTGGATTTGCACAGCAGAAGGCTCGTGCCACGGGCTGGCACGGTTTGAATCCGGCGAGTCCGCAAGGATGCCGTGGGCTTTAAACCATCGCAGCGGCCTGGTGCTGACGGCCGGGCTGCACTCCTAATCCAGGCTGTCGCTTCTTCCCTGCTTTACTGTGTCCGGGAACTTACTCCTCCTGGATTCCTGCCGTTCGGCACAGCTTCCCGAAATTCCCTTCCTGCTGGCAGGGGAGCAGGAGGGAGATGAGCTCCCCAGCGGCTGGCGTGCCCGGAGCTCGGCCTGTGGTGGGAAGGGTCCATCAGCCCTGCGACGGGGCGAAAGGCTGCTCCTGCCCCCTAACACTTTTCCTTTGCCCCAAAATGCGAGAAGTGCCTCCTTTAAACGATAAGGACAATAAATATAAGCAATAGTGAGGTGTTGATTTTGATCTGACAGGGCTGCTCTCCGGGTGAACTGGAGATGTTCATCGCTCGCTCAGTGCCCGGCGCTTTCTCCGTCAGGGGAAGGGACAGCGCTTTTCGTTACACTTGATCTCCTCTGCTGGGAGAGGGAACGTGGGCGCTGTGCACCCCATTTGAAGTTAACACAGTGACTTGTCCAAAACCTCCCCGCAAGCAGGGAGAAGAACCCGGGATTCCCCATCAGCAGTCCCCAGTAAACTGGGTTTTTTCCTCAGCTTTCGTAATTTTGTCAGTGAGGGCTTTGTAGAGACCCGTCGCCTCCCCATGAAAGCTGCAGCTTTCGGCCCTGAGAATTGCTCTTTATTTGCAGTGGGTAGGGAAATCTCCCCAAATCCTTTCGCCTTGTTAAAAGGCTCGTGTTTACTACTGAATATTGCACCGACATAAAGCAGAACACGTATTGTAAAGCAGAGTACGTGAGTCTGCATAACCGCGCTGCAGAATCCATCCCAAAATTCAACCCATTAAAGAGAGGGGGCGCGTGCCTTCTCCACACGCTTTCTGCGTGATTCGGAGGAAGTCTGTGAGATCCCAAACCAGCAGCATCCGTACCAAGGCCCTCTTCTCTGATGCTTTACTTGCCTGCAAAATTCTCTGCGTGTTTTCCCAGTGGCTTGTATGCTTTGCCTTTTCACGTCAAATCGCTCTTGTGAAACAGCTGGTTTATCACCAGTTCAGGCTCGATAAAAGCACGCCTTCAGTTTTCTGCTGTGAGGTGCCGGTATTTTCACAGCTGTAACGTAGCACTTTAAAAGCGTAATCAGCAGGTGAACCTGCAGGAGGGAACCGCGTCCCTGCACATCTTTTTAAAAAAAGAAAAGCCTTTTACTAACTGTGTAATAAAATCGTTTCCCACTTCACACTCAACTTGTGAGGTTGCCGTGTGTGTTTGTAAGATGAGGGGGACGGATCTCAGCTTTTGAAGGCTCTGCGGAGCAAGGAAAGTCTTCACGTAGAAGTTGGCTGGAGAATTAAATCACCTAACTTAGCTGCTCAGGGAGTGGAGGCTGCAAAGAAGGATCCCAACAGCCCTCCTCTGCTTTTTTTCGGGGAGGGTTGCTGCAGTTCATGCACCTTGGTTTTCCCATTTGAGAAGACAGGTGCTTTTAGGGAAGGCTCTTTGCACAACTTCTGCCATACGCAATTTCAAGCGACTCCGTCCGGGGGAGTCGGAGCGTTTCCCTTGCTGTGGAGCTGCGTTTGGATTTCTCGGAGAACGCCTGCCTGCGTGTCGAGGAGTGTCTGCCGGGAATTCGGCTTCCTCGCCTCTTCCTCCTCCTCAGCCTGCCTCTGGGCAGCCAGTTCTGGTAAGACCCTTCCTTTGATTTTAGGAGTTGCGAGTTGGGCACGTTGGGGTGACACCTCCTGTTCCAGCATCCCAGAGGCTAGAGGTGACCTCCCGGGGTTTGGGGGTAGGTTCAGACAGTGCTAAGAACCACCGAAGCTGCGGTCCTCTGGTGAAGGGGGCAGGTAAACCCCTCTCTGCTGCTCACAGCGACGTCTGGATCTGTGCCGGGGTCTTGAGGAGCGGGAGGTTTATGAAACCGTTGCCAGAGGGAATGCTTTGAAGGGCACTACTGGCAGTGCCACAGCGAGACTGAGGCCATCAGTCCATATCAGGAGGAGGGGACAGTTTCCAGACCTCGTTCAGAGCAAGCACAGATCCTGGTCTAGAGGATGCCCACCACGGCAGGTCATAGGAAGCCCAGAGGACAGGTTCAGGATCTACACGGGCAGGGTGGTTCTCGATGCAGCGTTCGGAGCAAGCACAGGTCCTGGTCTAGAGGATGCCCACCACAGCAGGTCATAGGAAGCCCAGAGGGCAGGTTCAGGATGAACACGGGCAGGGTGGTTCTCGATGCAGCGTACAGCTGAGCTGCGGAAGCCGTCTCCTCAGGACGTTGCGTTTGCCAAAGAGGAACTGGACAAGTTCTGGGAGGAGAAATGCACCAAAGGCTTTTAAAGGAGAGGTCTGAGTTGCAAACTGTTGCAAGCTAGAAGAGTGTTTGGGAGAAACAGGGCCATAGGCAGCTGTGGCTGAGCAGTGGCAGGCTGGGAGGGAAGGGACTGGATGTAACCGGGCGGACACCGTGACAGTACGCACCGAGCCCAGCACACTGCTCACGCTTCTTCCTCCGTGGTCCAGATTGCCTGGTTGAATCAGATCCCGGGATCCTGCACAGAAAAGGGAGCTGGGCCACCTTTGCCACCCTGGCTTCAGCTCTGGTGTACAGGCAGCAGCGGTGGTTGCTCCCTCGTCTGCTGAACGGCTTTGGGCTTGGCCTGACCTGCAGAAAAGAGATACCAACGTCACCAGGACTGCCGCTGTGCCCGGCTCCGCCTCACGCACCGCCGCAGTGCCCGGCTCCGGCTCACCGCTCGCTGGCGAGGGAGCCCTGGGGGTGAGCTGGCCTGCGGCGTACGCCTTTTGGGGACAAGTAGGAAGCTTTCGAGCAGCGTGATGGAAACAGCTCCTTTCAGTAGCATTACGTGCCCTCTCCACGCCGCCTTTGACAGGAGGGGCTCCCAAGGGCCCTGCTGTGTATTCACAGCTGAGGCATCCCACTAACTCTCCTCGCTTTCTGCTTTCCCAGCTAGAGCTCTTGACTTACAGCCCAGGTATATGAAACACAGCCAGGGCTCGGTACTGACAATACCCTGGGCTTCGGGCAGCGAAGCTCAGCGAGTTAGTTTTTTAACAAAATGAAGGCACTGCTTTTATAAAGAAGGGTGGTTTTTTTTTTTATTCAGAGACGTTGTGCTTTATCTCGTACTGACACCAACCTCATTTACGTGCTTCCCGCATTTGCCCAACAGGATATTAAAATTATACAAACTGAATTTGACCGGTCTCTTTGCCCTTTTTTCACCACAGCAACCAGAATTCAGCAAATTCTCACTGAAATTATTACACCTTTTTTGAGCGTCAGTTGCTTATCCCTTTGGTATCGAATTAATGCCTGAGGATCGCGTTGAGCTGAGATTAACGCGGTGGAGGCGAAGAGCACCGTGGGTCACTGGGTTGCAGTTACACGCTTGGCCGTGCTCTAGGTTTGTCAGGCATCGATCAACATTCCACCTGGGAACCTCCGTCATGTTACAAGGGGAGCTGTTACGGCATAATATAGCCTGGGGGTCTGTTCTCCTCTTGAATGTCGTCCTGGTGATCGTTGCTTGCACCCCTCTTTATGGTGGCCGCAATTTTTCTGGTGCCTGGATGGCTGCTGCGGTAGTTGTTAGCTCAGCATTGATCAGCGTAGGGTCAGAGTTTAAAGAACAGGATGCACCAGCACTTAAACTACGTTGTGATTCATAGGGGAGCTGAGGATTGGGTCTGACTGTATCCGGAATCCTTGACCTTTGTTTGTTTTCTGTCCCTCCTCCTAAACCTCCTGCCTTCGTTCCCGTTTCCTTGTGCCCGTCCTTTCTACGGAGCTCGCAGGATGGCTGGAGAACGCGAGTGTTTTCACCTGCCCTCGCTGGGCGAGGAGGTTTGGATCCCGCTTGATGGCTGAGGCCTCGTGAAGGGGCGCGGGGCTCCTTGCCGCTCTCCGCCCGTCTCTTCCTCTTGCAAGCTCTCCTGTGCGGGGCCGCCGCCGGCCGGCTGCCCTCCGGCACGGGCTGAGCTCTGGTTGAGCTCAGAAACGCCTGGTTCTGCTGCGCTTGGCGTTCGTGCCGCTGGCCCGGGGAGGCAGACGACACGAC